TTGTTTAAAATAAAAGTCTAAAAATAAGAAAAAAAGAGTCTAAAATTGGTCAGCTCTAGCTGTTGTTGGGCAAAAGGTGCCCCCCAACGATGCCCAAACTGTTAACAGTTTGAAAGTCATTTTGTTTAGCTTTCAATAAACTATTCTTAATCAGTCGGCGACTAGTTATTACAGTTGAGCTGTTGAATGTTCTAGTAGACATATTTGTAGCACATGTATACCGGGAATGGACATACATACATATAGTTATAGTTATATATATATAGTTAAAGCAGTTAAACTTACCCATACAATGGCCTAAGCCCAATAAACAAAGTTGCGGTTCTTGTTGTAGTGTAGTGTTGTTGTTGTTGTTTTCTTGTGAATGTTCTACACTACACACGCGAGTTGTTGCCTTGTCTCGAATAACAAAATTGAAGGTTCTTTTTTTTTCTTTCGATTTGCTGTTTGGGGCCTACCAGTTGCTCCCAAACTGTATAGACTTTGTTGTTTGTTTGTTTTTTTTTTATCAAAAAACACAAAGAAATTAAAAAATAACGTAACGCGAACTAAAAATCAAACAACTTATTGTTGCCTGCCGTTTTTTACAGAATTATTTTTGCTTGTGTTCGAATTTTTTTTATAATGTTTTTAATTTGCTATTTGCTTTAGCAATTAACAGAGGTTTCTTTTTTAACGTATAGTTGCTTTTCGCTTTTGCCTGTTCAATGCAGGTCAGAGTTTTTTAAGAGTATTGGCGAATTAATCGACATCGAAGTGGATTTTGTTTAACACTTTGTCAGCTTTGATGGTCTCAATAAAATACGGCTCTACATATATCCGTTAAATATGCACTGCACTTTGGCTATTTTCGCACAGAGGGCGCTGCGTATTATTTACTCCGTTGCCTGATCCGTTTGCTGCGAGCGGCGAGATACGACTGAAAATTGAGCTCTTCTCTGTCAACGATTGTTTCGAAGTCGAATGCTGAATGCACACTGTTCGCTGATACGAACGGTCTTATATACACTGTCCGATGGCCGATGGCTGTTTTGCCGTTGGCTGGCTGATGAGGGTGCCGGATCGCAATTGTTATTGTCTTTGATATCGGCAAGGGCAGAGCGCGACGGCGGCGTTGGCACAGTTTCGCTGCCTTTGCCTTTGCTTGGTTTCTTTTTGTTTTCGCTTTATTCGCAACACACGGTACACGGTGCACGGTACACGAGCAAATATTTCAATTTATGACGCAAAAAAGCTTGAAAAAATATTCCACAAACCAGTAGCGGAACGAGGGGAAACGACACGAGTGTTTAGCGCGACGTTTGTTTTGCTACGCACAATCGTGTCAATAATGTTATCAGTTTTGTTGTTGTTAACATAAACAATGTGTGAAGAGGTTTTTGTTGTGGGCATCAAATGAGGCTTGATAAGTGGGATAGGACTCGATCGGATTCACGCTTTGTAGAAAACACGGTTACTGAAAAGAGAGGAAGTGACACAGATTAGCTTAAATATATTAATTGTGAAAAAGTACGGTTCGTAACACACAGTTAAATTAAATAAACGAGTCAAGGAAAAAGCCGCAATTGACTGGGCATTTATATTCTACATACATATGTATGTACATATGTATATGTAAAAGTCCATTGGAGAATGAGTTCACAAATAGACGCAGAGTGAGAGCTTGCTTTTAATGGTGAAATCTTTCGTATAATCTGATTGCCGAAATTGTTTACTTATTTGTTTATTTACTTTTTTGATGTTGTTGAAGCTCTTATCTAAACGCAAATATACTGTTGTGTACAGCAAAATGCGTATTACCGCAGTTAGCTAAGTCTACATACATATTTGATTTATGAATTTGCATGCTTTATCGGATATTGTTTATTACACTCATTTACTCTGCTGAAACTTGAGTGGAAAATTATTACGCGTTCTTTTATGGCGATTATCTAATCAATGGCAATCCAAGCGAAAAGTTGAAAACAATGCCTAATGCACTGATTTATATTTAATTTCCTACATCTAGCCCTTTATCATGCCACAATTCTTGATGCTCTTAGACGTTCGTTCATCTGCAATATTTATTATATGGCCGCCATATAGTTGGGTTGCTTTTGCGTCGTAGCGAAAATCATTCTGTGCTCGAAAAGTTGTAAAAACCCAGCAAGACATTTGGTGAGCAATTAAAAACTAAGCAGTCGGCATAAACATAAATGAATGTTTGCAACAATTGCAAATATGCATTCCCAAGGTCAGGCGAACATATAGTATGTTATTTTAAAATACATTTGTACAAGAACAATTTGCCAAGAGAGTGAAATCAACATTTGAGGGCACATTTAGCATAAGCCAGCTAAAAATGCATAAACTAACGAATTGATTTCATTAAATAACTAATAAATGCTTCGTTCCAAGCTAAGAGCGACAATTTATGAGTCTGGCCAAATAATTTAGATAATATCGAACAACCTCACATAAAGCATATGCCGCGTGACCCGGAAGCCTTCGACTTAAGGTTGTGGCTTGAGGAGTCGCAAATTGAAATTGGATTAGCTGTGCGAGTCATAAACATCCTTCATTGACGTCACGACGATATCTGAGCTTTGTGTGGCGACAGCAAGTGTAACCTTCGACAGTGGCTGCCAGAATGTAATGTCCACGTCAACTTCTGTTGTTCATGGAACTAGTTCAATGTCGACACTCAACGACTGACGTCATCAAGGCGTGTAAGTCCTACGAAATTAAAGATTGAAGCCGGCCGGTGCGTAAGCTTGCGTAAAGAGAACCAACCCAACCCTCCTCCTCCACCCATCGTATTATATATGTATGTATGTGTGTGTGTGCACATGTTCATAGCACACATTTTTCCAATGACCGTCGTTGTATGCCACGTGCTGCTCCACGTATTTGTAAACAATATTGACCGCGTGCTGCAAGTGTTGGTGCTCTATTCGTCCGTCCGTCCGTCTGGTTTTCGTTTTTACTATCAAAACATTGCGTGCTGAAGGATTCAGTGCGCAGGCTCGTGAACTCTGTGGAATTTCCAGTCGAGTATAATGGAACATTTTTGCTTTTGGTCTGTAACAAAGGCAAGGAAAATGGAACGACGACTGGGAGTGCAATGATTCGACACAGTGGCATCCTAAAAAGAAGCACTGCCTTTGCTGTTGAACATTATATAGAGGCTGCCATAACTTGGCATTGTTTACTTCTAAAAGGTGCAACAATTGATATATGTACATACATAGTTGGTTTTCTACTTTTCAGCTTTTTGTTTTTAAAGATATCTTGTTCATTCATTCATAATATTAAATAAAATAAATATTTAAAAAGAGAGAATAGAATATTAGCTGCTATTGTCTTTTTAGTTTCCCAAAGAGGCGTCTTAATAGACGCCAGATATGCATTGCTCTAGCCAAAGTTACGCATTAAATATTATCTTATAGGTATGAACATAAGACGAGAGGATAAAGACACTTTAAGCTCTGTTCCAATGCCTTTTATCTAGCTGTATACACAATAGTTTGCCACTACTGTAGCCAAGCCCAGGCCCCACAGATGTTTTTGCGCATTTGTATTTGGGGGGTTTTCTTTGTTGTCTACTTGTTGTTGTTGTCTGTTGTTGTTGTTGTTGTCTGTCCTGCTGGCATTTCGAGGGTTACGCTTGGGGTTGTTGTTGCCAATGTGCTTTTCATGGCGAAATTACAAAATCGATAAGAACATCGGAAACAATGGGCACCTGCTGGGAGGAACTTGGATGTGGGGGGAATGCAGATGATAATAATAGGTGATTTTAATGAGAAACTTACCCGCTGTTACACACACGCACACAGAGCCACATACGGCACGCAGACGGACGCCGCCTGTGGGGGGGTGGGGGAGAAGCGTTTGACGCTGAGCTTAGAACTTTTTACTCCAATTGTAGGAACCGTTGTAGAAAAATAAAATCAATATAATTATTTTGGTGTGCATATTGGGGACAGTCATGGCACAAGGTATCCTCTATAAGGCACAGTAGGAACACTCTATAGTTATTATTATTATACTTTTATGTTATGAAGTATTTAAGCCTTTAGTTTTTGTGCCGTTTGCGTTTGTGTGGCATTTAAAAAGTTACGAAATCTTTGCAACACTCGGAAACAAGCTACACTGGTTATACAACGAGTGCGTAGTTTGATTCGGTCGCGTCTTTGACTGTTCTTTTGATCCTGCGTCTTATACAGGCACTCAAAGTTGATTTTTAACAAATTATTTATTTATCCTGTCTGCAAGACACGTTCTTGGTGCCCAACTGCTGTGTTTGATGTGGAAAATTCGACTGCTTGAAACAGGCAGCCACAGCAACTGAGTCACCAACTGAGTCTCTAACAGTTTCAGGCCACTTCCAGTGCCTTTCCAGTGGACTCTGTATTGGCTTTGCACTAGCAGCAATGCAGTGCCCAATGTTTGCGTCACCAACACATGGCCCCATATGCGTGACACACAGTCATTGCCAAATTGCATTTACGAAATGCTCATCAATCAATATATATAGAACTGACTGACGGACAGACTGATTGATGCTCACGCACAGCCCGAACCGCAAAAGCGGATAAGAATTCCATGTGAAATTAAAACTGTGCACCGTTGTTGGAAAACTGTTGCGTGATCCTTTTGAGCTTAACAATCGATCGAACTCTACACAGCACTGGCAAAAATATCGATTGACTTTCGATTGACTTATTTAAAACGTTATTCGCCGATGGCGGGATTTCAACTCAACTAGCTACAAATGGGGTTTCAAAAATATGTTCATTTTCCCACGGGTGGATAGTAGGTGGAAAAGGGATATGTAAAGTTGGCTCAGGGTCGGGTAATATCCACTACCTACTATTCATTTATTGTATTTATATTATTTAATAAATAATAAATGCATGACAACCAAAATGTAACCTATTTGGCTGGATTTTCTGAAGACTGTAATTATCTTATTTTTAAAAAAATATATCAAAATGAAGCTACCCCGTTTATATAGATATTTGTACACGTGTGCTTTTTAACTTCTTTCAATAATCTTGGAAATTTATATGAATCCTTCAATGTGATACCCTCTCAATTTGCACAGCGATCCCATAAGCATCCTCTCAGCTGAGCTTATAGTAGGAGTCACTTTTGGACATGCGACTCAACAATATGTTGTGCTTTTGAAAACAATGTCAAAGCTGATACACAACATAGTGGGAATTATACTAATGGTAATTGTGGTAATCCTGGCTCACCCACTGCCCTGCAGTGCAAATAGTGCTCACTACTATGGCAAATCCCATGGGCCTCGTCGGTACGACAGCGCCAAGAAAGAACACGCTCTTCTAAGAACGCAGTCAAACAGTTCGCACTTCGTGCACGACATGGAAGCCAATGATCCCACCAAACTTTTTGAGAAGCTGGACAAATTTGAACTGAAGAAGAATCGAGTAAATGATGCTGCAAGGCGATTGCAGTACGCCAAACAGAAAGAGAAACTCATCTATTGGCTGAACCATAACAATGGCAGCGGGCGGGAGCAGAAGGAGGAGTTGCGCTTGGCTGTGATTCGGGAGAATGCTCGTCAGTTGGAGCAACAGCAGCGCCGCATTGAACGCATTCAGAATGAGGCCGCTGATCGAGAGTTCGAGCGCATGATGAAGATGAACCTCCACCAGGATAGAACGGAGAAAGCTTTGCCGGAGCAGCGACCTCTCAAAGGTGCTGCCAAGAAAGACGAGGCCAAGAAGAGCGTGCTCTCCAAGTCTCTTATGTTGTGCAAGAAGCCGAAGGTGAAAAGCAAATGCCAAAAGCCAACATTTACGACCACCACGGAGCGGCCCTATACAGAATCGAGCACGACTTGCCCTGCCTCAGCCATTAAGAGTATGGGTAAAGGTCACCAGAAATCGCAGCTAAAGTGTGCAGAAGCCGATCGTCTACTGCAAATCACAAAGAGCATGAAAATACGTGCGCTTCTTATCATCAAGCATCTTAATCTTTTGGAAATGGAGATACTCAGCAGAAACAATCCGGCCGGGGATAAGGCACAGCCAAAAACAACGGCCAGGCCCACGACTGAGAGCACGACGAAGACAACGCCAACGGCTACGATGGAGACGGCCTACGGCACAACAAATCCAAGCACGGATCCGCCGCCGCCGCCCGTCAAGTCTGACCGTGAATCAATGGGTGCAGGAAAGAAGCAGGAGCGACTCGATAGGCCCACAGCCATGCCAACAACGGGATCGCCATTCAAACACAGTTCCGGCTTCTATTTTGGGTTCCGACCACCTGGAGAGGAGAACACAGAGGCAAATATGGCTGCAGCGTTAAGAGAAGAGCGCAAGCTGGAACAGAAGGTCCGTGAGGAGCTTCAAATGCAGCGCGAAAGTATGCGATCGGAACGGCAAGAGCACATCCGGCATAGGCCACAAGATAAACGGAAGCGAGCGCGTTACGAGGCAGCTCCACCGGCAGCAGCACGACTGGAACTTATTATAACAACTCCCTCATCCATGCAAATGTGTTATCCACGTGACGATGGAAATGGAGGCCAGAAGATTCATCGACCAAAGCAGCCAGCAGCTGCTGTAAAGAGTTCCGCCGATAACTTAAATCCGGGTAGCAGCCGAAATCAGATGTTGCTTCGTAATGGCTTAGCGAGCTACCCAATAATTAATTGGAAAAAAGCGGAGAGAAGCAAGAGAATGAGGCACAAACATATGTTAACCAGCCCAAGACATCAGACAGTCTTGGAAAATTGCCTAAAGCCTCAAATACAGCGACATCAGAGATATTATAACCGACCCAGACATCGAAAGGTTTTTAATAGTCCCAATCTTGCATTAAGCTGATGTATTTTATAATTAATATATTTTCTTATACATATTTCAAAATTCAAGTTTCATTTAAATTTGCGCTGAATTTATCGATTATTCTTACTTCTTAAAGGGTCACCCTGAATTGTATCGTATAGCAATTCGATGTTTCCGACACAAAAGTGCGATACTTTGGATGCGTCGATAATTAAGGCAGTCATTCCCATTGAGAACATGGAACAATAACAATTCAATACTATTTTTCAATAAGGAATTATGAAACATTTGTAAGACCAGTAAAGAATGTCCCATCGATTTCTGCAATAGACTCTTGTTTCGATTGACCTAGTTGAGCAAAGTAAACATACGGTTATGAATAAGAATTCAATGAACTAAAATGTTAATAGATTTTTAAATAGTCACTCACGAGAAACGATTCGCTGTATTATCGATTGTAACTGAAATTTGATCGATACTATCGATAAGCACGGTTCTCTGACAGCTACCAGAATGTACCGCACGCTTTTAAAGACAATTTTATTATAGTCCAGGTTATTCGTGTTCTTGCGTATTCGTAAGAAATATTGTGCAAGCTTCGTTTTATGCAAAAAGTGCATACTATTTAAAATTGTTAAATCGCACCGTTCAATTCTATAATTAATATTAAAGTAAGTTGGTAAGTATCTAAATTTTTAGTTTTGTATGTTTATACATGTGGACAGTAAAAAGAAGTACATATGTCCCAATAACAGCAGTATGTGTTAGAAAATACGATGGCGGGCAAATAAACGAAGTTGAAACATAATATGTTTACGTTTGCAGACATATGCATGTACATATACATACATATTTACACTCTGTGAAATAAACAAAGCTCGAGTTATTGCTCCTTATGGTTCTCCAATTTCAGACATTGACAGCCACAAATTGCCTGAAAGGCTTTTCTAAAGAATCAAACCACGGCCGACAAAAAAAATATTTGTTTTTAATGTTTTTGTTATTTCAAGTGAAAGAAACGATAAATAACAGAAAAGAAAAAACTAGCATGAAAATTGCAAGCTAAATTAATTAATGAAGATCGAAGCAATACATTCTCCATTTCCAGTCGCCTACTTTGGATAGGCTAAAATGATCTCGACGTTGCGCCGTCGCGTCGCATTGATTTGTTTTTGCTTTTGCTTTTGATTTTCTTTTTGGCGCTCGCTCTCAACTGTTGCCTCCATTATCTGCGCCGCGTTCATTGTGCCCAAATTCTTTATTGCAAATTTTAACTTTTGCTCGCATAGTTGTTGTGGGTGGGGTTGGCATTTCACAGTGCTTTATCGTATTTGATCGCCTGATTGGCATGTACATATGTATATGTATGTGTATGTGTTTGTGCTTGTGTTGACGGTATTTTTGCTTTACTCTCTTTGCAGTGGCTATGTCTTTGGAGCAAGAGGAAGAAATACTCAAGGATGTCACCATTGTGGTGCGCTCGTTAATAAACTCACTCAAGCCGCCGGTCAGCTTGCGTACCATTGAGCGTGACTACATGAAAGAAGAACATGCGCCCATACCTTTTCGCAGCCTAGGCTATCGCAGTACCCTGGATTTATTGGAGGACACAAATGCATTCAGTTTTCAGAAAATCGGAGATGAAGTGAGTGACTTAGTTGCCGACCTCCCCCACAACGGGCGCAACACTTGCATTCTTGTGCTCTTTCACTCTCTCTTGCGCGCTCTCTCTCTCTCTCTCTCTCTGAAATGAACAGCTTTTGGGTGCTTCGGTTGAGCTTTTGGCAGCGCCTGTCCGTAATAGCGCTCACTTTGGCCTCAGTAAGTTTCGTTGCGTCAACGCGAGCGGTGCTGTCTGCGAGCGTGTGTGCTGTCTCTGTGTGTGTGTGTTGTGTGCTGTGTGCTGTACGGGGCCTGGCTTGCCACAAAGAGGCAACGTGTCAACGTAGCGTCGCTCATTAAAAGTGTAAACAATGCTACTTGTTTATTATTTCGGTCTTTCTATAAGCTTTTTATGCTAGATGTGTGTGTGGGCTGCTGCTGTGCTGAATAAGCGCTTTTTATAAATGCAGCACACACAAAACAAGCAACAAAAAAACACCAGCGACGATACATACTTTATGTGCAAAGCAAAAAAAAAATGACAGCCAATTTAAACTTTTTGGCTGTCCGTCTTCTGCTCTCTTTCTCTCGCACTCTCCCCGTTTGTGCGTGTGTGTTTCGCTTTGCTTGGTGAAAGTAATCAAATGTTGTTGTTGGTGGAAGCGGGAAGGCGCGTCACATTGCACTTTAATATTTCTGTTGTTGTTGTTGTCGCTCGCTCTTGTTATAGTTTATTTTTAAATGCAGGCATTTGTGCATTGTTTAAATGTCAATCTTGACTCGTTCATTCACTGATGTAAATTGATTTTGTTTGTTACTGCGCTTATCAGAATCCCGCCCGTCGTCTCTGCTCCAGTTCACATTCTTCTTCTTCCGTGCAGCTCTCCCACGCCCAGCTGGCCTGATTTGCACTCAACCGACTGCTGGCCAGTGGGTGGATGGGCGTCTGTGCACAGGGGCTGCTATGAAAAAATCCAATGCATGGGCAAATCAATAATGCATCTCGCACATAAGATTCAAATGAATGTGAAGAGCCTCAGTTGCAGCAAATATCTAAAATGTGTATTGAAATTGCATAGCTGGCTAAAATAGTTCTCTCACATAATATAGTAAACAATTTAAATAAATATTATAAATATAATAATATAAATAGTATTTGGCTGCAAGTTTCCATTTGCTGCCTGTTATGTAAATAAATTAAAATATTATAATAATGCCAGCTTTCGAACACTCATAATTGCACCTGCTTCCATTTATGTTCGGCAGTATGAAAATAATGCGAATCGAGTGACTAATTGTTTATTTAACGACAGCTTTCAGCTTTCACATTTCATTTGTAGTATGTCCCTTATCACGTCCAGAGCTTCTCTTAACAATATATTTTCCAGGCATGCTCAAAAGTCTGCATCACAGTAAAAACAATGTGAATCACTTTAAAGTGGGGCTGGAAATTAAATTGCGAGAGCATTGGGGTCTCAACTTGTGCTAACGTCATCAAGTTGTAAATGTTGGGCAATTAAAAAAAATGAAATTTCATTTACATTAAAGTGGAACTTAAGTAACGCCTTGTTTATGCTTACAGATCTTTGTCAGCGCCAAGCCTAACCCCAAATCAGCGCACATTGCTTCTATGGTGCGCTGCCAAAAGGCAAGCAAGAACAAGTCCAATAACACACGACCGCCAGCATCCACATTGCGTGTAACCATACAAACAGCACCCAATCACGCCAGAACTGTTGCAAGCAACTGCTACTACAACAGCAATAACTCACAGCTGCAACAGAAGCAAAGGGTGCAGCAACAATTGGCCCAGCAACAGGCACAGCAAAGAGCTCAGTTACAGGCCCAACAACAGGCCCAGCAGAGGGCTCAACAACAGGCTCAACAGCACGCCCAACAGAGGGCTCAGCAACAGGCCCAACAACAGGCCCAGCAAAGAGCTCAACAGCAGGCTCAGCAACAGGCTCAACAACAGGCTCATCAGCAGGCCCAGCAGAGGGCCCAGCAGCGAGCTCAGCAACAGGCTCAAAAGGCACAGCAAGAGACGCAGCAACAGGAACTGCTGCGCCTCCGAGCGGAGCTTGGGCAGGAGCTAGAACGTCTGCGTCTGCAACAGGACGAGCAGCTAAGCCACGAGCGCGAAATACAGCGGCGTCAGGCGGAGTTGCGGGAGGAGCAACGGCAGCAAAAAGTGCTGCTGCAGGAGCAGCAGGAGAAAATCGAAAAACAGATCAAACAGCTGCAGGAACAGCACGAACGCGGCCTTCAAGCACAAGCGCTTACTATTGAAAAATTGCTAGAGGATCGCTTGGAGCTGCAGCGTCAGTTGAATACGCAGGAGCTGCAACATCGGCAGCAGCGCGAACAGGAAGCTGCTGCAGCGAAAGCCGAACAAGTAAAGCAAAAACGCCAACAAGCCGAAGCAACAACGCTTGCACGGAAAAAACTCGCTGAACTGCACAAAGAACAAGAAGAAGAAGAAGCAGCAAGCAAGGCTCACAACCCGACTCCGCCAAGATCTCCACCGCCAAGCTCCTTAAGACCGTCAAGCTCTTCAACACCGCAAAGGATTCGTCCGCTTCGTAGCGCACTGCCACCACCAAGCGCACCTCCGCCAGCTGATATGAATGGTAACGCAACTGGTGGCGGTGGCGGGGGCAATGCCGGTGCAGCCGCCCGCAAACCGCACTTGCGTCCCATTTTGGGCAATAGTGCGTCTCAGCGACCGGCTACAATGAGACAACCAGCAGCAACAGAGACAACGCCAGCTGGCGCTGTCAACAAACGGCTGCCGCTGGCACGCGTACAGTATCCAGGATCGCGTTGCACTGGCACTGGACTCTCTGTCAACTATAGACTGAAACAGCAGCAGACGGCAGCAGCAGCAGCAGCTGCTGCAGGAGCAGCGTCTCCAACCGCCGGACAGCTGATAACACCCCCCGACTCGCCAGAGAATGCAGCCAGCAACAAGAGCCCAGCCCCATCTACAGGTCAGCATCAGGTGGACTTCAATGTGCAGCAGCCGCTGCTGCCGGTGAGTGACTTATGAGATCGATCTAATCCATCTCTGACAACTGTTTGTTTACCGTCTCTCATCCAATACAGATTCAGCCTTTGCGTCTGGATGTTAACTTTAAATTCGATCCGGCCTACGATGCGATCTCTTCACTGAAGCAATACTGTGTCGCACTGGGCTATGCGCCGCCTGAGTACGAGTTTTACAATGCAAACAAAACGAATAGGCTCCACTGCAAGGTGCGGATTGGCGAGAGCATCTACACCACCTACCCGGAGGAGCATTTCGACGAGGGGACGGCCAGGCAGCGCGCCTCTGAGGTGGCCATTGAGCGTCTGCAGGTGCTGGAATCACGCAAGCAGTTGTCAATTCTAAGCGATAACGAATTTCTAGAGGGTCTCTACCAGGAGCTGATCAAGCATCCGCATGGTATTGTTAGCCACAAGCTGCCCGAGTGGTATGAGGCGACGGTGAAGCGGCAGGTGCCCAATAACTGGTGGACCCTGATCAACGTTTCGTCCAAAATGCGCATCGAGAGCAGCGTTAATACACACATTGTGTTTGCCAACACAGCCGCAGGCAGTCCGATCCTGCAGCTGAACGTGGGTCCAACAGCGATGCCGGAGCTGCAGCTGCCTTGGACGGATGGCCAGCAGGACTGGAGCATGTATATCACACACTGCGACAACACCACCCATGTGTGGGCGCGTCTGATCGAGCAGAGCGCACAGTTCGAGAAGCTCACCGAGCAGCTGAATGCGCACATGTCCCGAGTACAGAACCGCCAGCCAGTGCAGCAGCAGCCCGTCGAGCACCAAATCTATACAGTCGAGGTCAGCGAGAATTGGAATCGTGTGCGCGTCATGTCATTAGATGCGGAGCAGCGCCAGTGCAGCTGTCATTTTGTGGACTTTGGCGACGAGGTGCTCTTCAAATATGATGCGCTATACAAGTGTCCCTCACAATTCCTGACGCTGCCCGCTCAAGCCGTGTGCCTCAGCATGTATGCACTCGACAAGTTCGAGGAGCATCCGCATGCACAGCCTGTGCTTGCCAAGGAGCTGGCCGGGCACAGCGTTGTGACCCGCATCATCACCAGCGAGGCGCAGTTTCACCAAGCGGGTGGACTCGCTCAGGGCGTGCTAGTGCCGCAGGAGGTGTCGGCTGAGGAAAATGGTTATGCCCATGCGGGCACGCGATGTGCGTGCATTGTTGGCACCTTCTATGACACCTCCACGGCCGAGGATATACACCTCAACGATTTGGTGGCCAATCAGATAATACGCAACACGCCTGCACCGATGCTGAAGCTTGACCAGAAACCCAACCAAGTTCTCGTCTCGCACGTTAACGATGTTGGCGATCTGATGGTGCAGCTGCCCAATGAAGATCTCAAGTTTGTTCAGCGCAGCATTGCCAAAGTTATGAGCGACAGCAACGAGCAGCACCGCGTACGCTTCTCGGATCTGCTGCACGACCAGCTCGTCTGCGTATGCGACGAGCCTACGGACGGGGCTAAGCAATGGTATCGTGGCATGCTCACCGCCAAGCCCAAGAGTCCCGAAGAGGAGGTCTTCGATGTGTATTATGTGGACGACGGCAGATTGCGCAAGACGCACATCTCAAATATCTATCGCCTAGAGGCCAACAATCTGGCGCTTGCTTCCTATCCGGCTCAAGCGCTGCGGGTGCGCCTGCACGATGTGCCACCCATTGATAACCAGATGGTGGGACTGCTCCGCAGACTGCTGTCGCCCCAAACGCCAGTTTTGGTAAGGGAAAAAGCCCCGCTGACTTGTTAATAAAAAATTATAACCCAATTTTTCTGGTTCATCTGCAGCTGAAGGTAATGGAGGGCGCCAATGATAAACTGCCAATGGTCACCATTCACGCGCGCGGCACGGACAGCTTGTACGTGTGCTTGAACAGTGCGATTCGCGTCGAGCATGAGGTGCAGAGGTAAGTTGAGATTTGTTCGCTTCACCCATACGAATCACTCATACGACACGACACCTGCACACACGGCACACACTCGTACACACTCGTACACACACACACACAAACACGCACAAAATGTACAAACTTTTGCTGTTTTGCTCTTCTGTGGTTTAATGATAGTTTCTAATTAGTGCTTTCAATAAACTGGACCTGACATGAAACTATCGCTACAAAATTATCTCAACATTAACGACTCCTTCAACTCACAGCATCCCGTAAGCTAACCTTCGTTCGATCGCTCACCAAGTGCTTAGTTCTAAGAATCTCATTATCCATCATTGTACATAATTATATATAGTATATAAAAAGGGAGACAGAAATACATGCATTGAATATGTGTATTAACAATTGTACTGCCAAAAGTCCAAATTGAGTTTTTCATATGATACTATGTGTGTTACCCCATTAAATCCATTCCTACTCCACCCCATTCCCACTTCCTACTGCTACTCCCTTTGCCACTTTGCCCCATGTCTATAGTACGACGCGGCCGGAACCGTTCGATGACGGCGGCTTGCACTTTAGTCCAAGCGGTCAGCTGATCCGTCGCAGCAGCTTCAGCTCCACAGTGTCCAGCCAGAGCAGCTGCAGCGATCAGCCGACAGCAGTTGGCATCGCCTCGCCTCCAACCACGCCCGCCAAGGCGAAGGCCGCTCTTCTGCCCATGCTCAAAGAATACGAGGCCATACCAGCTCTAGGTGCCTATTTTGAGGTGCGCGTAGCGCTCTCTGTAAATCCTGGTCGTTTTGCGGTAGGTGAAGAATTTGAATTCTCCCGCGTCCATAGCTAATCGCTGTCTTCATTCACAGGTGCAGCCATACAAGTGCTACAATCAGCTGCAGCGCATGATGAAGGAACTGCAGACACATTGCAAAGGCCCCTCTGCACAGAGTGTAGAATTGGCGCAGCTGACCATTGGTCAGGCCTACGCCGCGGCAGACGGCGATGGCGTCTATCATCGGTGAGGCTGCTCGAAGATTACAGAATAGCCATAGCAAGAATACAGTTTTTCCTCTTCTCTTATACTCTTCGCAGCGTAAATATTCGTAATATTTTCGATGAAATGATACATGTGCGGTATGTGGACGCAGGCGACGATGGCGTTGTGCGCTGTAATCAACTATTGCAGCTAACGCCCGAGTTCCGCGAGCTACCTATGATGGCTCTGCCGGCACAGCTCCATGGTGGGTAACACAAACACAATATTTTGAATACGAACTCTAACAATTAATAATTTGTTCAGGTATTCAATTGGAGGGCATCGATTGGACACAGGAGAATTGTGTGCGGTTCCGAAAGCTGACGTTGGGCCAGAAATTCATTGGGATTGTGAGGCGCGTTGACAAGCTAAAAGATAATCGACGCGCGCTCAGCTTGGAGTTGATTGATACCTCAACGCCGCAGGATATTAAAGTGCACGAGACTCTAATAAGCGAGAAACATGCGCTAGCTGCTCCATAAACTAAACGATCATCCTTGATGGAATTACTAAATTTACGACTCATTTGTTTTGTTTACGTTTATTTGTTTAAATTATGTGGCCGACAGTTATTACAAACATATACACATATTTATGAGCCGACATTCCGCGTCTAACCTAAGATATACATATATATTACTATGTTTTACTCTGTTGTATTCAAGCAAAGCGCAACAATAAATTATGATTTTTGCTACCGAGAGAACGGATGCACTTGGTTCGCCGACTTGATGTTGGTCTTCACCGCCGACGGAGCCTTGCCCAGCTGCTGTTGAACATTGCCCGGACTCATTGATGGCCCGCCCATGGGCGGCGTGGGTCCGCGAATGGATGGTGGCACCATCATGCCAGGTCCCGGTCCTGGTCCATAGTTTGCTTTGTATTGCAGTCCTTTGCCCATACCAACTGTCGCCACCAGCAGCTGTGTGTCCGCCATGCTGCTTGTCTGTTGTATGCCTGTACGTGAACTCGATTCGATTTCCCACTCTTCACGCGCTTTGCTCACCATGTCCAATACGTGGGAGACGACTTTGTTGTACTGTGTAACCTGCTTCATGGCTGCATCGTTGGTTAGGTTTGCCGCCTTCTGTTCGTTCTGCTGCATCTTCTGCTCCGTAATGGGATCGGGTCGTGTGCGCAGATAGTCGGGCACTATGTCATGCGAAAAGACCGGCACACGACCTTCCGTGATGTTAACCAGCGTTTCGTCGCGATCCATGGAAACGAGCAGTGGTAGCACGGTGCGATTTCGTAACGGTGGACACTGCTCCTTGGCCAAAATCTTAGTCAGGCCCGTTAGATGGCTTGAAATTATAGCAAAGTTATCCAGGAACGTTGGCCAATTGATCTCCATGTATTCCATTTCCAGTTTCTGTATCATAGAGAGTACCGCCAGCTTCAGATCGTTTAGACGCTGCACGACCGCATCTAGCGTCATTTCAAAATGTTTTTCTTCGCGCTGCATGTTTTGTTTATGGCAATATTTTGAAATCAAGTTTATCCTTGCGACCAACAGCAAATATTTACGATGCGTTTCACAGCTGTCTTGCGGCTTACCGATAGTGTATCGATAAGTCAGTATTTAAATACTGCTTTGTGATATTTGCAATTGTTAACGATACTAGTGATATCGATTATTTTGAACATTGTGCTATCGCTTCGCGCCAATCAGCAGAACTTGGGATTCTTATTGCGCAGCACAACGACAGCTTATTATCATTAATTTAAAGTGTAACAATATAGAATCGTAGATGATAAGTTTATTTCAAATGTATTTTGTTGATAGGTATTATATTATAGTTTTGAATAGAAGGACTCGTGCACCACCATAACCGACTGAATGTCAGCCAATGATTGACAGCCGGTCAATTTCATAGTGATTTCAAAATCTTTTCGTAATACACTCAGCAATTGCTCGACGCCGCGTTGTCCATTATAGGCCAGGCCATAGACTGCCGGACGGCCAATAAAAACGGTTTTGGCGCCCAATGCCAATGCCTTGAAAATGTCATTTCCTTGCATAATGCCGCCGTCTAACATGACAAGCAGATCGTTGCCGACAGCTTTCACCACCTCGGGCAGGGCCTCAATTGAGGCTGGCACCGTGTCGATTTGGCGGGCGCCATGATTGGAGACAATTACTCCAGCGCAGCCAAATTCACGCGCCAAAACAGCATCTTCTGCGGTTAGCACGCCCTTGGCAATGATGGGCAGGTGGGTCAGCTGCTTCAGCCAATTGATGTCATTCCAGGTGATGCTGGCATCGAATTGGCTGGCCACGTACTCGTTAATGCCAGAGCCACCCATTGTGACCACACCGTTCGCCTGCTCGCCCTGAAAGTTGGCCAGGCTCAAGTGCGGCGGCAGACTGAATTTGTTGCGCACATCGGAACGCCGGTGCCCAAAAACAGGAGCATCAACAGTCAGAACCAGGGCCTTGAAGTTTGCCTTTTCGGCGCGCCGAACTAGCTTCTCGGTAAGTGAGCTGCAAATAAAAGTGTCCATTATTTAATCCCTCACAAAGGTGAGCAGTTGAATCCCACCGTTCTTTGTAGATATAGAGCTGAAACCATTTGCAGGTATCCGGCGCCCCAGCCGACAAGTCCTCCAGTGATGTGGTGGAAAGTGTGCTCAAAATGAATATGGAACCAGCTTTGCCCGCGGCCCGCGCATTACCGATTTCACCATCTGGATGGGCCATCTTCTGCATTGCGGTTGGGGCAATGCCCAGCGGCCATTTAAGCTGGTGTCCAAGGATCTTACAGCCCAGATCTAGCTGTGAAACATCGCGAAGAAAACGTGGACGCAGACGCAACCTTTTAAAAGCCTCGCGATTTAGTCCAAGCGTAAACTGTTCTCCTGCACCGCTTTTGTAATAATCCAAGGCATTCTTCTCCAGTTGACTGCTAGCCCTTTTCTCAAAGTCCTCCACACAAACCAGCTCCATGTCGCTGAGTAAGTTATGTAACAAATTATAATATGGACCAGATATTGTTGCCGGCAGTGTTCGCTGCTCTCGCTCGACTGAATCTCAGTTCTTATAATCTTAGCTGCTCGTATCAGCGGCATTTCTAAATGTTAGTAGCTGATAACTTATACTAGACAAACACTTCAGGTCGAGCAGAGCAGATCTGTGTAGTTCACAGAGATGGAAAAAAATAAACAAACTAAAAACAAAGATCGGTTATCTTCGACACGCGGGGGACTAAATACTCTTGCGGACATGTGGCTTAGGCATGCTTTTATGCGAACGACGCCATATGTTATAGTATATCCTATCCCACAGATATATATATTATATCAGAAAGCAGTCCGATGTTGATAAGATGATTGCACGGTAAAACTTATAAAAGCCAAGTTACTCATTTTATGAGAAAATTCGAATACCCTCTGCAAGGGTGTTATAAATAAATAAATGGACAAGACAGTCAGACAGTCAGACAGTCCTATCTTGCACTGATAAGCCCTATATTTATATGTAAATTATTTGGCATTTCGGAAGTGTTTGTGCTGAAGATCTTTGTCAAGGTTGAAAAGTACGAACTAAAGCGCAAATTAAATTATTTGCTTTTGCTATAATTTAGCTTTGTCTGGTTCATTCTTTTCAACAAACCTTATAATTGCATTAAGCTATTTACAAATAACAACAAACTCAACATAAAACTCAAAAGAATAAATTAATTAACAATCAAACACTATACGTTTCCTTTAGGTTCCTGAAATATTCCAAATCAGTTTGGCTGATTGAAGGCACAAATTTGTTGAAGGATGTCGCAAAGTCCTCCGACTCAACGATAATGTGTTCGGCACTTAACTCCTTGGCCGACAGTCCGCAGCTCAAATGCTTGCTTATGGTTCGCCTTACCGCTGACAGCCAAGCATTGGAGCATATCGAGTACAAGTCCGCACCGCTCATTTCGCTCTTCAGACGCTCGGCGATCTCGGCCAAGTCGACGTCGCCGGCCAGTTTAAAGCGCTGTGTTTGTGCACGCAATACTGCCGCCTTGTCATCGGCAGTAGAGCAGGGGCCGACATAGAAGAGTTTGTCAAATCGGCCGGGTCGCAGCAGAGCGGGATCAATTAGATCCGGACGATTTGTGGCAGCCAGTATGAAAATGGGCTTTGTGGCGTCTCCGTTGCACATGCCGTCCATCTCGGCCAGTAGCTGTGATACCACGCGATCCATGACGCCGCCCGAGTCACCAGCCACACCACGATTCGGTGCCAACGAGTCCAGTTCGTCCAAAAACAGAACACATGGCGCTGCTGAGCGGGCGCGAGTAAAAACTTCACGCACATTTTGCTCGCTCTGGCCCACGTACATGTTTAGCAGCTCGGGGCCCTGAACGGAAAGAAAGCTTAGATTGCATTCGGTAGCCACCGCCTTGGCGACCAGAGTTTTGCCAGTGCCTGGTGGTCCGTAAAGCAGTATGCCGGAACGCCGCAAATTTTTTCCCATTAGATGTACGTGCTTCAGCGGCAGTCCTATGCTGCTTTGAATTTCATCCTTCAGCTTATATAGACCTCCAATATCGGACCAGTATACCTTCGGCACCTTGGGGGCACCCAGGCTGTCGGCGAACGAGCTCTGCATTTCGTTTAGATTTTTAGTAAAGTGCTCTAGACTTAGATGGCTTTCTCCATGGGATTGACGACGCTTAAGTCGCACAGCATTGTCGTAGAGCAGCTGAAGATCACCCAACATAAATCCCTGCGACTTAGCCGCAACCTCATGCAAAGCACTCTTCGTCACGTCCCATTGTGGAGAGAGCCTGTTCATATAGCGGGATTGCATGTGGAGTGGAAAAAGTGGCAACTTGGCTAGCGCCTTTTGGTTGTAAATTGCATCGTTAAAAGATTCACGCACGTGCATCCATTTCAGCAGCTCGAATCGCTCTGCTTGATTGGGTGCTTCAATGCTAATTATCTCCAAGAAAATGCCCTGTATCATCGGCTTTAAATGTTTGTCGCTGGTCAACGCTACAACCACAACTGGATGCTTGCGGTCGCGGGTAAATAACTCCTGGATCTGTACATGAAAGGCAGACAGCAAGCGAAGGTCCTCGTTTCCTTCGTTATCAATACCGAATATCTGAGAGGAGAGTTAACAAATATTATATATTATTCATAATAAGGCGTATACCAATTGCAGTTTACCTCAAAGTTGTGGAAACAGATCAGCAGCGGTTCGCTGATCTGGCTCTTCGCAAATACCGCCTTGAGTTTCATCTCCGTGTGTGATGGAACTTGGGATACAATTTCCGCACAGTCCGCACCATATAAGTGCATGCCCAGCTCCTGAGCTACGGCATTGATGAGCTTTGTTTTTCCTGAGCCGCGCTCGCCCTGCAGCAAGAAGACGGGAAATATGTGCTTCGATGAAAGACAGGCAGACTGTTTTGGCAAAAATGCATCCAACGAAGAGCGTAGCATTTGATAGGGCTTCCTCAAACCACTTGGATAGTTGTCTGCAATGGCACAGCTGTCCAGAGTTTGTCGGGGTAGAAAGCTGTGCGCATGTGGCACCTGCACCAGGTTGCTGAAGTTCTTTGCCACGACTGCCTGCAGCTCAAACTCGCTGCCTTTCGCCTCCAGGTGCACGCAACGAAAGTAGACCTCGCGCAGAAAAGCGAAAATCAGATAGTAATGGGCATAGGCTGCAGTGCCCACCAGCTGGGCGTTCACTTCAATGCGGTAGATGTGGCCACGGTGCAGCATGCGTGGCGTATTGAAATAGTTGCTCAGAATAAGCTCCGACACCTCTGGCGGCAGCTCGTGCGGATTGTTGAGCAGATAGACGTGCGCTTTTGTGGCGATAGTCGGTATCGTCTGTTCGTCGCTGAAGCACTCCAGCTGAACCCAGCAATTGTTGCGCTTCTGGTTGCTGGTGCCGCATCGATCCATTAGGTTGCCATAAAAGTTCTCCTGAAGATGTGTGAAAACAGAATGAGATGGCAATTTGAATATACATATATCTATATTTGAAGCGTACCTGCACATAGAGACAGTTGCTCTGGCACTGTGAGTTCTCTACCGGCAATATCTGGGCCACTATAGTATATGGCGTATCCTGTAAGATTTGTTTAACGACCGCCTCCGATGTGTCCCAGGAGTGATCAGAGCTAGCGCCAGCGGCTTTAGTGGCCTTTCCCCCTCCACGTACAATTAAATTGACAAAATTCACATCATCCGATTCAGCGTAGGTGTTGTAAACATCCGTGCTGGCCAGAATCACATGCTCGGATTTGATCAGCTCGTTCTTGGTCAGCAACTCATACAGTCGATTGGGCAGGGGCGTCAGCAGAAACTTGCCCCTGTAGTATTTGGCGTAACGCCAATATACCGCATATATCAAATAGCCAGGGTAAAAGAACCACGGCCACTTTGGCACAAGTAATTGCACCGTGGAATTATACGCCTCGACCAGCTCCAACATACGTCCTGTGAAACTGTATCTTGGCTCGCCATCGCCGGCTGCATCATTATCAATGGATTTCGATGCTTTGGGGGCAAGTTTTTTCTGTGAAGGTCAACAGTTGCAATAGTTATTTATATAAAGCAACATTTAAAGATATATATACATATATATATATATATTTACAGAGAAGCACACATGCAACAGATATTCAGCTTTATCAAACCTACCACAACAAAATCAACATCACTCATCGTTTGGCGACATAAAATACAAAGGTTACTTTGGGGCAGGCAAAGTCTGAATGCTTGGGATTGGATCACAGGTACAACATATAGGCACAAAGTTATTCTGAAAATAGCTGTTAATGCTAAATAATGTTAATATATGCCGCAACTCTTACAAATTAAAATAAAAAATATGTTATGGTTACGTACTTTCTTTACAATAACTCTTTTCTTCATTATTTTTTCCTGTTGACGTTCTAAAATATTTGTAACTGCTTAAAGCTGCACGCTGGAGTCTTACAAGAAAGTTGACTCAATAGCAAGTTCTATTAAACATTAAATTCTAATATTATGTATGAGATATAAATATTTCTCAATGTAGGTATGGTTGAAATTCACTAGTGTTGTGTAATGCAAAATTTCAGACCTGTGATTTGAAAATATGATAAAAAATACCAAACTCGATTATCACAAAAGCGGCCCTGTAACCTTTGACAAGGTATATCGATATCGATATTACCAAAACAAACACAAACTATAAGAAAATAATTTCGTTTAATAATGAGTTTAGAATTAACCAACATAAATGGCGGCAATGGCAACGAGAATCCGTCACAATCGCAGGACAAACGGGAGCTACTATGCTTGCTCAAGCTGCTTAGAAAATATCAACTAAAAGGAACGGAGGAGCTGCTTTGCCAAGAGGCAAATGTGAACAGTGCAGATCTCGCTAATATCTGTGATGGCGACGTCAAGGCAGTGCTCAGCGCTGCATTGGCCCTGGCTGATGACGACCGCAATCGCCAGTCTGTCCAGGCACGAGCATCAACGTCCGTCGAAGCGAAGGCTGTGACCGAAGCGAACGCAGCCGAAGCGTTGGCAAAGTTTATAGGCGACGATGCCTTTGATGCCCAACATTATGAGCAGGCGTACGAGGAGTTGCGCACGTTTGTGGAGGAATCGTTGGACATTTATAAGCACGAGCTGTCTATGGTCCTTTATCCGATACTGGTGCAAATCTATTTCAAGATACTTGCCAGCGGGCAGATTGAGAAGGCGCGGGCGTTCATTGAGAAATACAAATCGGATCTCGATGGTTACTATATCGAGGGTCTGTTCAACTTGTTGTTGATATCGAAGCCGGAGGAGCTGCTGGATAACGATCTTGTGTCTGCAATGGAGACGGATAAGTTCGTGATACGAATGTCGCGGGATGCGCATTCGCTGTTCAAGCGTCACATACAGGACCGCAGACAGGAGGTGGTCGCGGACATTGTATCCAAGTATCTACATTTTGATACCTACGAGGGCATGGCGCGCAACAAGTTGCAGTGCGTGGCAACGGCTGGGTCGCACATTGGCGATGCGAAGCGACAGGATAACAAAATCCGTGTCTACTATGGTCTGCTCAAGGAAGTTGACTTTCAGACGCTTACTACGCCAGCGCCGGCACCCGAAGAAGAGGACGATGATCCGGATGCGCCAGATCGACCCAAAAAGAAGAAACCGAAAAAAGATCCGTTGCTATCCAAGAAATCGAAATCGGACCCAAATGCACCCGCCATAGATCGCATACCCTTGCCGGAGCTCAAGGATGCCGACAAATTGCTCAAGCTCAAGGCGCTGCGTGAGGCCAGCAAACGTTTGCCGCTCAACAAGGATCAGCTGCCCTCTGCCGTATTCTACACAATACTCAACTCTATGCAGGGGGTCACATGTGCCGAAATATCTGATGATTCCACAATGCTGGCCTGCGGCTTTGGTGACTCCACTGTGCGCATCTGGTCGTTGACGCCTGTGAAATTGCGCGCACTAAAAGAGGCCGATGCACTACGTGAACTCGACAAGGAGTCGGCCGACATAAATGCGCGAATGCTTGACGAGCGCAGCGGCGAGATGACGCGCTCCTTCCTGGGGCACACGGGTCCGGTCTATCGCTGTGCATTTGCGCCCGAAATGAATTTGCTGCTCTCCTGCTCTGAGGACAGCACAATCCGGCTGTGGTCCCTGCTCACCTGGTCATGCGTGGTCACCTATCGTGGCCACGTCTATCCCGTCTGGGATGTGCGCTTTGCGCCGCACGGTTACTATTTTGTGTCATGCTCCTATGACAAAACTGCTCGCCTGTGGGCCACCGACTCAAATCAGGCGCTCCGCGTCTTTGTCGGTCACCTTTCGGACGTGGACTGCGTGCAATTTCATCCCAATTCCAATTACGTAGCCACTGGGTCCAGCGATCGCACTGTCCGCCTATGGGACGCCCTTACAGGCCAGTCCGTGCGCCTCATGACCGGCCATAAGGGCACGGTTAGCTCTCTGGCGTTCTCGACGTGCGGCCGTTATTTGGCTTCCGGCGCCGTCGACCACAACATTATCATCTGGGACCTGTCGACCGGCTCGTTGGTCACCACGCTGTTGCGGCACACCAGCACCGTAACCACGATTACATTCAGCCGCGATGGCACAGTGCTGGCGGCTGCCGGACTCGACAACAATCTGACACTGTGGGACTTTCACAAGCTCACCGATGACTATCTGAGCAACCAGATTACGGTGTCGCATCATCAGGACGAAAATGACGAGGACGTTTACCTGTTGCGCACTTTTCCCAGCAAGAACTCGCCGTTTGTGACCCTCCACTTCACGCGCCGCAATCTATTAATGTGCGTCGGCCTGTTTAAGAGCTAGACGCTGTATTTCCAATAATATTGGATCTTCAAATGCATATATTTTAAGCAAAGCAGTCAACCTTTCAAAACTCCAAGAAATGATTGCTGTATAACTTTGATTTTGTAACCAATTCGTTTGATTTTAAGATACCATAGTTTAAAGTATTTTCAACAATATCATTAAGTTTCTTTTGTCAAGCTATCAATTATCCATTTACTGTTCCCCAAAATTCCATTACGTATAATTCTTAAACTAAATATTTTTGAGGACCATAACGTATAATAAAAAATATGTTGGATTTTGATATTTGAATTGATGTTCCCTTAAATTAATACTATGATTCGTCAACTGATTCGTTAAAGAAAACAAAATTCTTATTTTACAATTTTAGAAATTATTGTTCCACTTGTGAGAAATTTTAACCTTACCATACTATTCCATTGATTGATGACCTATTAGAAATTTTTAAATGAGATGTAGAACAATGATAAAAAATAAAAAGATAAAGCATGTGCTCATTCTTTTGTTAAGTAGAGAAAAAATAGAGCTCCAAGTTGTTAACGCTGTCTTTGATCCTCGTTTAAAATACGTCCCAAATGAATCAGCTTAAAGATCTTTGAAAACGAGTTTGAATCCGATCGGACTCATGCGACTGTCACCACACAATATAATACGAACTGAAACACTTCGTCCAATAAGAAAATCCTAGTTGGTCTTTAATTCAAAGGGGAGATATTTTTGTGTACATTCTTTTTGAATGTACATAACTATTTATTTTCGTTCGGGTTATCATACAGAATCGACATTTTATTCGGCATCGGGAATACCGAAGGTGCGTCGCACAGCCTCAAAATTCTTGATGTTGAAAACCGAACAACGCGGTGGTTTCTCGCCGCCAAAGGCGAGCGTGTAAGGATCTTCTGGGCACTGTCGCATGCACTGCAGACGACCCATGTTGAAATCATGCTCGTAGACATGCTTCGGCTCGATGCTACTGAAGTTCCATATCTTGAGGGTGCCTTCCGTGGACGTAGAAGTGAGCAGGTTTGGCATCAGCTTGTTGAAGCACACGCCAGATATTTCCTCGTTGTGGGCTTTGACAGACCAGAGCAGGTTGTCGGGCCGGCGCTTATCGGCATAGTGCAGGTTGCCGTCGTTGGTGCCAATTATAAAGTAATTGGTCTCTGTGGGATGCCAAAGGACTTTCTCCACCTCGCCGGTAATCTGCCACTTGACAAATGCCGCGTTAACGTTCTCTGCGTCGCGGCAGTCAAACAAACGTACATAACCATCCGCAGAGCCTGCGAGAATGCTCTGCGCCTCCTCCGGATGGAATTCTATGGATTGCACTTTCTCTTCGAAGGCGGTGATGGTTGTATGCGGCTGGCCCTCATCCATGTCCCAAAGGATGAGCGTTCTGTCCACTGAGCCACTCGCTAGTATGTGCTCAAATTGGGGATTCCACGATAAATCCAGTACAGCATCTTTGTGTCCGTACTGTTCCTTCTGTTTCTTGCGATTACCCTTTGAGCCAAGCTTAAATGTCGGCTCAATGGAATCCTGTATATCCAGATCCCAGATGGTGATAATCGGGTCCATGCAACCGATGGCGCACATATTTCCGGGTTTGTCGCTGCCCGCATCGTGGTTCATCCACTCGATGCACAGCGGAAAGCTTGGCAGCAAAAAGTCGTGGTGTGTGTAAAGAGCCTGCTCCTCCTGATTGAACACCCAGACCTCCATGCTAGCGGCATCGTCCTGCACGTGCCCGACGAGAACCAGGTTGTCAGATGGCTTAATCACCTCGTCCTCGGCCTCAGAGTCTTCATCCTCGTCGGGCACCTGCTCATTGGCGTCAACAACGTTGGCAATGTTTGTTACAGTCGAGTTTTCTTCATTTTCATAATTCTCGAAATTGAATTCGTCATCTTGTGGATTCGCATTGCTAGCGCTGGGAGCGGGATGCTCGCGGTCGACGTCCATGTTTTCTTCGTCCTCATCTTCGTCATCGTCGTCCTCATGCAACTGGTCCCGAGTCTCGCCAATAATGCGCGCAAGCTCTGCGTGTGTTAGTACAATTTTTTCAGGGCGCTCCTTTGTGACGCCGCGTGGAACAAAGCACAGGGCTGGCACGAAATCTATGCTTGGCTCTGCTGGACCATCCTCCACTTCCGTCATTGTTAAAATAGTTAATATTTACAAAACTAAATGAGAAGCTGTTACAAATCACCAAAAGAGAACAAGCACGTGCACGAGTTAACTGCAAATAATGTCCAAAAACACAAGGATGGTCACCCTAGCAGAGAAAGTGTGGCCATATGATGTTAATTGGTAAAACAAATCGTTAGTTATCGATTTTCGAAAAGCTTACGAACCCGCTATTCTTAAAAGTTGAATGCATGACAAAACTGCTTAATAATTTTTATTTTTTAATTCCCATTTTGTTTATTATTGTCTATCGTACAAAATCATACGAGCTATGTTCCGCGATAAGTGCTGTAACCATAGGGGCTTAGTAAAAGCGGAACATGATAGTTTTGTTCCTCACTGCAATCCACTATAAGCTCGACGGCTGGATAAAAGGTTTTTATATTTTGCGCAGCAAAATATGCTCCCACATGAAAGGTTAACTTATAGATTCCCTTGGAAAAGTCCGATAGATCCAGCAATTGACAGCGGCCATCTGAATTGGTTTCCGATGGTCGAAGGGCCTTCCATTCTTGGGATTCCTCCAGGCGATAGGTAGTCACCTTGATGTTAGCTGCTGCCTTTCCAGTAGAGGTGTTTAGCACATGCGTTGTAAGCTTACGGGTGTTCATTGCGGCGGAGAGCGTCTGACTAATGACTTCTGATCATTTTCTCAACATTTCGCTTTAAGCAAATGTGAGTTGTTTACATTTCAGAGATTTACTTGATAAGAGATCATATAAGATACTGTTTTTTGCTACGATAAAAATGAGCGCGTATTATAAAATGTGTACTCGAATCAGTTTTGATACACACTATTATATTTTAATATATAATATTTACTTTTTTACTTTTACTTGAACTTGGACTTCTTATCGTCTTGCAAAATATTGGTTCGTACAGATAAACATAGGAACGATTAGAACAATTCATTATTATAAGTTAGCATTAATTATTGCATTTTAAAAAAAAATACCTTTTTAGCTTCTTGAACATAAAAAAATATTATCCCGCGGTTCCGGATAAAAACATCATCTAACATGAAAAAAACAAACATAATTGTAAAGCTAACATAAATTGCTTATCGATAGGCAGTTAACACTAACATTTATGCTAAATAACAGGCCACAACAGCGCTTTGCTCTGTTAACTAGCTTACTGCTGCATCGCTGACAGTTTGTTCTTTTTGTTATTGTAAAATTTGTTTTTGAAGCGGTCGGTTCGGCTGTTTTGCGTCGGAGCATCCGTATCGCGACTTTGAAAAATGTATTTCAAAGTATAAGCAAGGCCGATATTGAAGCTTTAAATGTAAATTGCAACAATCTAGTTGATAATATTGTCAACTTTAATTATAAAATATATCTAGCGCCAATCCGTTCTGTAAATTGATTGCGTTGTTCGTCATTTGTGAGTGCCGGTTAAAATCATGCAATAATCGTGAAACTTATAGAATAATATTATTATTACCTGAGTTATATATATATGAAAATGATACGTCAACCGGCGAAAAGCCAATTGTCTATTTGTTTAATATCTTGTTGTGATTTGATGTGCACACGTTTCCAGTGCACCCAGAAGCAACAGTTGTTTGTCTTGAAACCGAGTGAAAAATGAATAAATAAGCCAATGCAAATGATTTCCGCGCTGCGTTATGTCAATGAAAATATTACCAGAGAATAGAATCCGATCTTTTATTATTGGAAAGTACAAACTTCTTTGTATGGACATATGTAAACGCGATTGCTTGTACATACGTACACTTGTGGACACTGTGCATGTGTGTGTGTGTGTGTGTGTGTGTGTGTGTGCACATACACTCTTACAAGCAATACACAAGCGCGAGCCTGAACCGCCCGAGCAGAAGCATCGAAGTTACCAACTTCAATCCCAACAAATCTTAAACCAGTTTTAAGATACATATTCTTGTTGTGTGTCTGCGTGTTCATGTTTTTTTTTTTCGCAGTATACTCTCGCAGAGGGCATTGTAATTTTGTCACAAAATGTGTAACGCGTAAAAGGCGACAACTCCGATCCTAGCATGGTTCGTCTGTCTGTTAAATAACTGCGAAATAAACAAACTTCTTGTTTTATTTCACAATATATTCAAAACAACGTTAGAGCAAAATTGTTGTAAAATCGGACTACTATATCTTAAATCTCCTCTAGTAATAATAAGTCGAAATTAATGTTTTTGAAAATATACGACACATAACAAATGTCTGCAAGGGTATTTAGAGCTCGGCTTGTCGAATATTGCCGTTCTTCTTGTTTTCGTTTGTGTTTGGAGGTTTTGCTGCCTCTGCAACTTTGGATGAATACGTGTGTATATTTGTATACACACTCATCCATATATATTCGTATGCATGTATGTGTGTGTGTGCTAGCATAAGTCGGATACCCTTTGGCTGTTTCTCTTTACCTCGGCTTAAACTAATCGCGTGATGATTTTGTTGTTGTTGTTGTTGTTTGTTGTAATCCAATGGATACCCCAACAAGTACTGCACGTCTTCTGCCTCCTCCCACGCGAAACAACAGTTTAAGGCAACAATAACAAGTTCAGTTTCTAACCAGATCAGCAACAACAGGAAAACCCACAAACACACAAACACAACGATTATGTTCCAATCGGACTAATTTTATAATTGAAATCTTTTTACCTGGAATAACAAATATATTTGAGGTAAGCTAAAACCATTCTATAATAAAAATAGCAAAATAAATAATATTATTTTTTTTTTTGAAATAGTAACAAATATCTTTGCAATACTTAAATTATTATTTTTATATAGTAACAAATATATGTGCAATATTTTTAGTTTATGACATTCCATAAACTTTGAGCAATTAAAATAAAAGTTTTAATAAACAGACAGAATAGGCAATTTGAAAAAAGTCAATAATTAAGTTTGGAACAACAATAAAAGTTAATGAACGTAGAAAACATATTTTTGAGTCCTCTTAGAAATAGTCAAATTCTAAATGCCAGAAATTTACTATTGTAAATTAATAAACTCAATTATACATATATATAACAAAAATCGATTTTATTCAATTGAATCTTGAAATACATGGTAAACCATTACAAAATGATACACAAAATTGACATATTCGTATGGATATAATTAAATAAGTTTTTATTATACCCTGAACCCATTAAAAATGGGTATAATGTATTTGTGCAAATGTATGTAACAGGCAGAAGGAAGCATCTCCGACCCCATACAGTATATATATTCTTGATCAGCATCAGCATCTGTCTGTCTGTCTGTCTGTCTGTCTGTCCGTCTGTCCGTATGTATGAACGCAAGGATCTCAGAACCTATAAGGGCTGAAATTTTGGCTGTAGGTCCTCCTAGATCCCGCGCAGATCGAGTTTGTTTCCGATATTCGATAACTTGCCCCGTTTCCGAGTAATCGATAAAAATCGATATCGAAATAATATGAGCTAGAGTCACCAAACTTGACATGTTGCTTCTAAAATAGTATATATATATCAAGTATTTGTCATTTTATATCCCCTAGTCGGGAGCTCCCGACTAGAACCTCTTACTTGTTTTATATATTTATATGTCATAGCTCACACTTTTATTTTCATTTTTTATTTGTTGCTCGTACTTTAATTTATTTCTTTGCCCTAGGCAATAAACTATAAAGAAGAACCGTTATCTTCGTTTTGTTGAAGATGAAATCTTTGTGTCCACATCTTGGCATATAATATATGCACATGCATAATTGATTCCGAACTGCCTACCCCACTCGCGATCAATTATGAAGCTCTCTGAAGAAAAGTTTGTTTTGTGAGGGCCAAAAATATCATTTTAGCGGCGAGAGTGTTTTCAATTTGGATATGTCGATGTGGCCAGCCACGTAATGACCGCGTCGATTTCCACACTAACGTAATTTTGCACAATTTCGGTTTGTTAGCCAATGATAAAAACGCAATCAGAAAGTGCTAACGGTCGATTCGCAGATATGCTTAATTGATTGATATGATTCGATCGACAAATTTCAGGCCCGAGGCTAAATCAGCGCCACATTAACAGTATACAAAATTTCAAATTTCCAATCTTCATTCATTTGCATGTGGATATTCACATTGGCACCCAAGACACCCAAGACTTGGCCGATCATTAAACCCTGCTGGCAAATTAGAAACTAGCCGCCAATTATTGACAGCCGCTCTTGCACAGGGATAGCAAAAAAGTATTGCCGAGCAGCGAGTAAAAAGTTAAATTCCAAGCTCAAACAGGAAATGAGACCCCCCCCCCCCCCCACCCCCCTGTTCACCCCAATGCCAGTCGAGTTTTGAAGTACCTTTCGTTCGCTTTGGAATTGCAACGAGTAGTTCTTGTCATTTATCTGCAGCATATACTCTGCTAAAGTGTATTTAAACTTCATGTCAATCTCTGTTCTTCTTATACTCTGTTACAAGATAAAATCGAGTCTATTCGGTTTGTGCAAATTCTGCTGCCTGTAAAGTTAGACACTCGAAAATGGGAAGTTACAAATTGTGTTTAGATTGTGCGCTAAATGGTTCGGTTCACGGTTCGAATCTACTCCTGGCCTTTGGGTTCGGGCTGCAAGAACCTTAAAATGAAAATATTTAATTTAAAAAAAATAATTGGCATTCCGAGAAAAAATAACGGTTTTGTAGCCCTGTTATCGCTGCAACTAAACTAGATAATATATATATTAACGTAAGAGATTGTTCTTTTATATGATATTTTAAACATTATATTATTACTAGCTGGTATTTCTTGGCCTTTCCCATTTCAATATTTTCTTAAAATCTCAGAAATATTCTACGCATTTACGCGCGAGGATATTTTACGTAGTTTTTTTTAAATAAGTAATTTGTATAATCAACTTTTTCCGCCCATTTAAGTCTAGATCTACCTGCTTGAATCTTGAAGCCGAAAAGAACAACTCCTGTAAGAGAAGTAGACACTACGAAAGTACGAAACATGAGTCCAATAAATTGTCAAAAAGATATTTGAAGATGAGTTTAATCTTCAGTACATCAGCACATCACTTCCTATATCTTTAATCGGTCAATCAATCAGTCAGAGCGAACAGTTTTATAGATGTATATGTATATATTGCAATCATGGACAAATATTTATTATTTGTATATGTTTATTTTTACTCTCTGATGTAAGTTTGATAGTGTCACGAATAGTTGGGCCTAGATATGTCATACACACACACACTCAAACACTCAGGCAGAACTCATGTGTGGGTACTCATACGAATGCTCCCGAGTACTTGTGCTCGAGCACACAGAAAACTGGAAAATATCTATCAGCTTTTTGCTGTCGTATATTTATACTGGCTCGACTCTCTCTGGCTGTGCTCTCTGTTTGCCTAGTTGGCCCGCATTCTGGCATAGCCAACCGATCATCGATCAGTCCGGGGACTGTGGCACAGCTGCATCCGTGAGATACATAGCTGAACGCACTCAAGGGTCGATGTGGCACTATGTTGTTTACATAAGGACATCCTGGTTGGACAAAAAAAAAACAAAAGGAGAGACACTTGATCATACTGTGGGCAATGCCAGTTCCCGTCTGAGGATTTGCTCTTTGCACTGTCTCGTATTACAGGCCGGGCTGGGATTCTTGTGTGGCAACGTTTCGTGCCTGCATAAAGCGAATTTCAATTGCGACCTGACGCACCCATTTGCGTATATAGTATGTACACTTACATACTTGTACTTGTACACACAATAGATATTATTAAGTGTATCTAGCTGCAAAGTTTGCAAATTTCTCAACACGTGCTGTGTAAAATATATATGCCAGATTGCTTGGGCCAAGGAAAATTCCATAAAAACTGTGTGTGTATGTGTGGATATAGATATTTTTAAAAATTCTTCGGCTTTGCCATGGCAAAAACTACTTACGAACCTAAATAAGTATATATAGTATAAATATGTAGTTGAATTTGTGTTGATGTTTCGCTGATGTTGCGGCAGTTAGCGTGACTGAGGCATTCGCCATGCTGAAGTGAGTTTTCAAATTTGATACAAATTTCAGTTTTCTATCGCAGTTGTTTTACTGCCAAATTGCTGCTGCCAGCAAGTCAACCAAGTCCAAAAAGCAGCAGACTCCTCAGACCCAGACCCAGACCCAGTAAACTGGCGCTAAATTCAAACACTGAAAATAATTGGAAAGGCATTCGAGATGCCTAAGTGCTCGTTCGGAGCTGCTGCTGCTGCTGCTGCTGCTGCCGATCTTCAGGTAATGGTAATGGAGCTATTGCTCTTGCTCTTGCTGCAGTCCGAGTCCGAGACGCATCTTTACTCGATTCAGTCGCGCACTAAATACCAATTGTAACGCAAACGTTAATCACATCAGCGAGAAATAATGAATATGTTCAGGTGTAAATGCATATACATACATATACATACGTTGTGCATCGCGCCAATCTTTCAACTTAAGTATGGGAAAAGTTATTAATACTTGAGAAAATGATCTAGAATAATGCTGGCTTAAAACAAATTTGCCACTCCGAAGATGAAATACCCTGGCGGACTTATGACCAACAGTATTTTTGGTAATCAAAATTGAGATAATTTTTATTCATTTATTCAATAAAAGTCTCAACAGATTTCGCTGACAAGGAGAATATTTAAATAATGTTGAAAACAAACTACTTTTTTGCTAGAGATTCTTGCCACCTTTGGTTTAACTGACACGACGTGTCTATGCATTCGCCCTATATCTGGTTTTTGTTACTGAAAAAGAAAAATCGATGTTTTAATATATTTGAAATAGTCTGTTGTCTTCCCACGACTTCGATCCATTGTTTTGAAATCAGGGTGTCAAAGACCACCACGGCTGGTTTGAATCTGCCAAAGGATACAAAGAATGCAGCTGACAAAACAAACGATTTTATCGATTACTTGGAAACGGGGCAAGTTATCGAATATCGGAAACAAACTCGATCTGCGCGGGGACTAGGAGAACCTACAGCTAAAATTTCAAGTCTCTAGCTCTTATAAGTAGAGATCCTTGCGTTCATACATACGGACAGACGGACGGACAGACGGACGGACAGACAGACAGATGCTGATGCTGATCAAGAATATATATACTTTATGGTGTCGGAGGTGCTTCCTTCTGCCTGTTACATACATTTGCACAAATACATTATACCCTTTTTACCCATTTTTAATGGGTTCAGGGTATAATTCTGATCTAAATAAAAATGATGCATAGAGCATAACTTAAAGAAAATGTACTCATTAACATTAATAAATCTTTGCCCAAATTGTATATCCAAGTGCATTAAGTATAACGTAAGTAGTAAATACAAAATTGATTCATATTCATTCACAATTTGATGGCGCTGCATTCACACGCAATTCGAATCAATTGCCACATTGACACACAAATCGTTAGTGTGCCTGTGTGTTTGTGTGTGTGTGTGCGTGTGTGTGTAAACATGCTTGTAGACCAATTGTAAGTTCCATACCAGACCCGGTACGATGACGAGCTATAAAAGACCTTCACGGTAGAAAACAAACACTAAGCCAGAAGACAAACGTCAGACGAGGCTGATGACGAGACGACAATGGCACATTGGTCGGGGGAGGGGTATAGGCAGGCAGGGGGGGGGGGGGTGTGTTTAACGGCGAGGGGAGGGGGATCAATTGGTCGTGCTGTGCATGTTAAATAA